CACTGTGACTTCCAACCGTGCTACAATCACCAAACATTAGTCCTTGACATTTGAGGGAGTTTGAAAGCAGAATGATTCAAAAGGCTGATAATCTGATTACAATATTAGGCAGATAATCAAAGCTCTAAAAGGGAATACATTGTGAAAATAAGCTCCTCCAGCACTAATTAGCACATTCGCTGGCTTTTGTCAATCCTCTGTCTCACTTCACTTCGTCTCTTCCACTGCTCATCTTATTTGATGGTTATCAAATGAGAAAGGTGTAAATTGCTGCTCAGAGCCATCTCAGCAAATTCCCCAGCTCTGCTATCTCTCCTTCATCTTTCAATCAGTTCCCATCCCTCGTTGCTTATCCTCTGCCCGATTCCTTTCATCTCTGTAGGGAAAACGGGGCGTAATCACCAACTCTTGGTGTGTGTGTGTGTGTGAGTGTGCTTGTTGTGTGGTGTGCTGTGCTGCTGTGTGTGTGTGTGCGGTTGTGCTGTTGCCTGTTTTAAACATATGTATACCGAACTAGCAAGCAAATACGTATTGCTCAATAAACTATGGCGCCAAAAATTAGACGGTGATGGTCCTTGTGTCTGTGCCCGTCGTGTGTATATGCTGTTGGTGCTGTGTGTGTGTGGTGTGTGTGTGTGTTTGTGTCGCGCAACCCATGCTAACTCGCCATCCGAGCGCAGCACCAGTCGTCTAATGAGGCAGGGGGCTTTTCCTGCAGATTCTTCCCTTTTCTCTCTTCTCCTTCTGCCCTGGAGAAGAAAACACCACCAATCCGCCACAGTTTAATCCGACCCACCAAGGATGGTGTTAATCCAGGCGGAGAGGAAGCAAGAGAAATGGAGAATGGACGACTGGTGGCAGGCGCACTAAACAAGGAGGCATGGAGGCGTGATTTGCAAGGGAGAAGTGATCAATTAATTGGCCCGGTGTCGGCCCAAAGACACGAGCAAGCACAAGAGGATTTCATTGAACAACCACAGGCCAAATACACGTTTTACTTACAAGCGACACACACGAGCCCATGCCATGTGAAACGACGTGCTCCCATCGAGCCGACCCTCAGTCCACACCGCTGACGCCCAGGTGCAGGAGTGTGGGCCCAATACTGAGCCCCACGTGTACTGTTATGAATACTACCTATGGCTTTCCATCTAACATTGATTCTAAGTTGCTTTTATTATACTTTTTTACAGAATCCATCATGTATGGTGTTCTTTCTTATACTGCATCACACTCGGACTTAAAATAAAGCACAACTGAGCATAGGAGAAGCTCCACGAGGAAGAAACACAGGCGGGCGACGTTAGTGTCTCGTTCCTCTATGGAACGCCTGTGCTCTTGATAATGAGAACTCGAATAAGCAGGCCTCGGCAGTTGTTTCTTATGGCTTCCTTGGCGGAAAGAGAGAGAGGAAGAAGAGAGGAGATATATATAAATATATAATAATATAGTAAAAAATAAATAGTATATAAAAAAAGCATGCACTTAATCATCGCAGATCACACATCCTAACGTGGCCACAGCGCCATGTTGAAATGAGAGGCTTACCCCCCCACCCGCACCGCCGTCGAAGCGGCCCACCGACCAAGAACACCCCCTCCGGGGGCAAGCGAGTGTTGGGCTGTAAGGCTACCACACCAGCACCGACTGTCGCTGCCCAGCGTGTGTTGAGAGCCGCGTAACTCTGCGTCAGCGCCGTGGGCAGGACCCCAGCTGCAGTCGTCTTAAGAGGGGACGAGCTTCGGAGAGCCAGAACTGAGGAGCAGCCTCTGGCCTGGAGTCCTGCTGCTCGCCCCGAGGGGCGCGCAGTTAAACTACTTGCCGCGCTCCTTTTTTTCGCTTGGTCCGATTCACGCATCGCTTTTTCCATTGTGTCTCTTTTTAAAAAATTATAATATATATATATATATTTTCTTTTTTCGTTTTTTTTTGCACTGGCTTTTTGCTTTCTTTTTCGTTCAGTTTTTTTTTTTTTTTTTTGTTTTTTTCCTGCGGTTTCTGTTTTTTTTTGTTTTGTATTGTGTTTTTCGTTGCTGTTTTACATCCGATTCCCCTCCTTGTTCCTTTGCACCGAAAACTTTCTGCCTTATAGTTTGGCCTCCCTCTCACCGCCTCTCCTCGTCTACTCCTGTGAAGGCTCCTGTTCGTATTTCCATTCTCCTCCATTTTTTCTGTCTTTTCTCTAACTACCACTGCCCATCCTCTTCTCCCTCCCGTTTCCGTTATCACCTCGGATCCGCCACTGAGCTTCCATGGAGAGGCTGCAGAATCACCGCGCCAACAAATTCAAATCCCCCCCCAGCACAGGCTACTCCGAGAGAGACCAATTACAATTCACATGTGTGTATCATTGTATCCCTTTTCTGTTCGGCACAAGCATCCAAATAGAAACTTGGATGTGTCTAGTCTCAAGGTGATGAGATACTCTACATCAGTTTTATCAGTGGTAAAAAAAGAAAAGAAAACTAAGTTCTACCAGGTTACCAGGACAGCAGCAAGAACATAAAAGTCTGGCCTGTCTATAATACGGACTTTAATAGATGCATTTCTGTACTTTCTCCTACAGATTCCTGTCCCCGCACTAATGGTACTGGCATTGTTTCCCATATCAGTGCAGTTCTCCTGCTAAATCCAATTTCTCACAGAATTTGGATTTCTGCAGATCGACTCAAATGCAGGTAATGAGGCTCTGGCAACCATAGAGTGTTCATTTTAGAGGCTATTTACTTTTAGAACTCAAAGCAATACCAGCGAATTATCAGATAGATGACTCGACACAGCAAATGAATGACGGTTACTCAATTGTTAAAAATAAAATTGCAGTTGTCATGTTCTGGTCATTTTTCAGGCAAAAATCGGCAAGCATCTCGCCTTTTCCAGCTTTCTCCTAATAAGTGAGGATTTATTGGTTTTTGTTTGTTTGTTTTTTATATAAACTGAATATCTTCTTGGATTTCTGGCCTTGCGAGCGCCTTGGACAAAAAGCAGAACGCTTGAACAGATCATCTTCGGCCTCTGGGAACTGATAGGAGAGTTTTGATTTATAGACCAAAACAACTACTTCATACACGCAATTGAGGAAAAAAATCATCTTGCAGCATTAAAGGTTTCAGTGTTTTGTGTTTAGGGGGCATCCTAGCTGTGTACGTTACATATTGACAACCTGGCCTTTACCCTATCTACGAGCCACTGATTTAGTTGTCCATTCTGGGCTACTGTAGAACAAAGGCCAGTTCAATTTGGCCGGCCGATCCAATGAAACGCGACCTCGCCAGCATCTGCTAGACATAAAGATTTTAATTGTAGTTCTTAGTCATTGAGATGAAGTTCCGATTTACTTGTATATTTAATGTTTTTAGAAAAGAGAAAATACTATTTCTGTCTTGCTTTAGTCTCAACCTTAGTCCACAAACATATTTGACATTTTAGTTACTAAAAAGTGAGGCTCTAATTTCTCCCCTGCAGCACTAACTGAAGGGGTCCAAAAAATACCAGAATTGCGATTGCCATATATACTATTTAGTTTTTCATTTCAAAATACCCATTATCTGCTTTCTCCTGTTTCAACCAATGTTATCAAATCACAAGTTCATCTCATCAATCCTCATCATTGCCAATGGAAACATTTAGCAGTTTGGGCCAGAAATTAGCACTATTCGAAGTTGCGTTTTCCCCCACAGCCTTTTTGAAACAGCCGAGCCCCTGAGTCTGGAAGACAAAAAAAAAAAAAAAATTTTGAGAAAATCATCTTCTGCACTCCTTGTGTGAACACCCCAGCAGAACATGCAAGCTCTATAAATGCTCATTGCTGCTGGTTTGAGTGTATACCAGATGTGTCTGTGTACCGTCCAGTGGTCGATACTGTTGACATTTCATGTTGGAAAAAGAACGTTGTGTATCTGTGTTTCTCCCAAGCAACAGATACAAACCAGCCCAGTGTTTTCATAGGCAACACCACAATGTATAGTTTCCTTTGCAGAGCCCATAAAGAATGACTCAATGCGTACGCTCCAAGTAAAGCTTCATTGAGGGTCCAAAGTTGCAGTTAACAATTACTTTTTTTAAAGACAGCCAGATCATCGAAACCCATATATAAGGTAAACTTGGTTTAGCTGGCATTGATTACTAGTTTTTATTCTGTGTATTCTATAGAGCCTTCTACATCTCTTTCAAGTATTACCTTTTAATTGTCAACCTCTGGTTTTTCTTCACTAAAAGCAGAACAAAAAAGGTTAAAAACATTACTGTTTCACCATTTTATTCGGAAGAGAAGCCCCACTCTGTAAGCACAGTGGTCCAAGCCTCACACTAGCTCTAAACACCTGCGTAATTTAGAAGTCAGCTCTGGAGTTTTGTCAATCTCTCTCCCTCCTGTTTGCTATTCCTGTAAAACCTCTGACTAAACTGTTCGTCAAACGGGGGCGTGAATCATAAAGCACTTTATAAAAAGCACTGTATTTAAATAATAAAGCAGAAAAATCCCATAATAATATTTCACATACCTTTGTTATTTCTTTCATTCCAACGCTTCGTCTATAAAGTGGCTGGAAATGTCCCAGCTTTTATTATCGCCAAGGTATACGCATAAAATCTTCAAATAGTATTCTCTTTTAAATCTAGTGCATCTTACATGTTATGTTATTC